GAGAAAATTAAATTATTATATTATACAATTATTCTTCAATGTAATGTTTCATAATAATTCATGGTAACATGACAGACTAATATAACATTTATCACACACTGAGTATCAGAAGCATTGATCAAGATTTGGCAAGAGTATCAGTTCTTTTGCTCTAGAGATGAAGGCAGTACAGTTCTCAAAGACAGATCCTCAAACACAAGCCTATAAACCCCATCACAAATCATTCATAAAGCAGAGCAAATTTGCCAATGCCATCAGAAAAAAACGTAAGTACTGTTTCTGACAGAGTACTCAATACAAAGTAAGTTTGGGCTAGAGACAAATGTTATAAAAACCAAAATTCACTAAATATAAACTCTGGAATACTATAAAATCATGCTTCAATTCCAGAATATGATTATAAGCACATACTACATACTAAGGAAACAAAAGGGCCTGATAGTCTATAGAAGTATACAGGGAACCCAAATTCAAGTTCACTGGTATCATAAATCTAAAGTTGTAGTAATCCTGCCAGTTACATTAAAAGTCATTTGTGGGAACTAGAGAGATGGCTCAGCAGCTAAAAGCATTGGCTGCTCTTACAGAGGACCCAGCTTAGATTCCCTGTGGTGGCTAACAACCATCCACAACTCCAGTCCAGGAGAATCCAACACCCTCTTCTGACCTCTGTGGACACTGCACAACATGGGTGTACTGACATACAGGCAGGAAAAATACTCATACACATAAAATAAAAATAAATAAATCAAAAATCAAAAACAAAAAAAAGTTGTTTGTGAAGTATGAATAGAATTAGAGCTCTCTCACTAATAAGTTTCACAGAACAAAAAGTAGTCAAAGTCAGTCTAGTTGGGCCAATGAGATGGCTCAGGGAGTAAGGAGGCTGGCTGCCAAGGTTGAAGACATGAGTTTAATCCTCAGAATTCACACGGAGGAAGTAAAAAAAAATCAACTCCTACAAATTGTCCTCCAACCTACACAGACACACACTACATAAATGTAAAAAAAAAAAAAAGTTTCATCATTCTAGTTTAGCCTGCGGTGACTTTTCTCTACCACTAGATGGCACCACTGGCACCAGAAATCAAGAAAATGAAAAGCTGGTTACGTTAGTATATATTAATCATCCTTAAGTATCTCAAGTATCCTGTCCCAGTCTGTTCATACATTTGTATTAATCAGATTATGAGTCCTAATGCTTGCTATTAATATATATATATGGCTACTATAATAAAGGGTACTGTAAAAATATGTGGCGAGTTGGAGCTGTGGTCCCATCACATGAGCCTGGAGCCTTGACCCTAGGTTCCACATTCCTCTGGTCTTAGGCTGATGGTGGAGCAGAGTAGAGCCTGGAAGACTTTCTGATGTTGGACAGCAGTTTCAGGTCTTTCTGAGTGACTACATTCCCCACAGATCCCTCCCTTGAGGTCCCAGGTTGTACACAACAGAAGTTTTTCCTCTTATGCTGGGGATGGGGAGGCCTCAGTCTTATGCAGATTCTGGCCTTGGGAGGACTGATTCTCTGGAATGGACCTCCACCTCTCCTGAGGCCCACCTGTGGTCCTCACTCTACATGTGGTCCTGGATACCCAGACCTTGCTGTTGGGCCTCTCCCATTCCTAGGCACCAAGAGGTTTTTCATTATTTTATTATTACTCTTCTATAGACCCAGTATGCCTTCACCTATGCACTAACTGAACTTCTAGAGATAAAAAACACAGGGGTTGCGGGGGGGCTTGAGACAAGGCTCAGCGGTTAAGAGCATTGGCTGCTCTTGCAGAGGGCCCAGGTGTGATTCCCCACACCCACATGGCAGCTAACAACCATCCATAATTCCAGTTCCAGGGGAATCCAGTACGTTCTTCTGACCTCCACAGGCATTGCACGACATGGGTACACTTACACACATGCAAGGCAATACATTCATACATATAAAATATAGTAAACAAGAATATTAAAAAATGGGAAGTTAAAAAAAGAAAGTACTGTAATAACTAAATTGATATAATCCTCACACTAAAAATATGTAATTACATCTTAGAATATAAATTTGAAATTCTTAAAGAAATGTGAAGGAATGAAATAGCAGGAAAGCTTACTTAGAATCTTTCCTTTTTATGTAGTGCTGGAGATAGAATCCAGAGCCCTATACATGCTCAGCAAGCCTTCTACCACTGCCAGTACCTACTTATTTCTTTCACAAAAGATTTTTTAAGAATTAAGTGCTGGGAACTGAACTCAGGTCCTCTGGAAGAATAGTGAGTGCTCTCAACTGCTGAGCCATGTCTCCAGCACCCCCTTTAAAATTTTTAAATTTTCAATTACTTTTATGTGTGCCTGCTTGTCTGTATTGAATTTTTAATTTTCAAATTTATTTTACATGTACGACTGTTTTGCCTGTATGTAAATGTACCATGTGCATGCAGTGATCACGGTGGCCAGAAGAGGGCATCTGATCCCCTGGAACTGGAGTTACAAATGGTTGTTAGCCTCCATGTGGGTGCTGGGAACCAAACCTGGGTCCTCTGCAAGGGTAGCCAATGCTCTTAATTATTGAGTCATCTTGTCTCCAGCCCCTTAATTTAAAATTTAACTACTATTTTAATTGTACATATTTATGGGTTACAGCATGGTTAACTCAAAATACTTGTACACTGCATGATGACCAATGGTTGCTAGCATTTCTATCAAGTCAGTTCTTTAAAATATTTTGATTAACATATAACTATATATATTTAGTACAGTGACAGTTCAATATATATACATATATACATACATACATACATATACACATAGTATATGCTGTACTTTTAACTAGCAGTTTTTATTTTTATATTATTTTAAATCAGCAGTATTTGTATTGATGTTGATTTCAGATGTGAAAATAGTATGACTTTGTATTAAGACATCTGAAAGGCCAACAAATTTACTATTTATACCAATAATTAGTAAGTCTTTTTTAAAGATTTATTTTTATCTTTATGTGTATGTGTATATATCTCTGTGTGGGTATATGCCCTTGAATGCAGGTGCCCCTGGAAGCCAGAGGCATCAAATCCCCTGGAGCTGGAGTTATAGGCTATTGTGAATCACCCAACCAGGGGTGCTGCAAACTAATCTCCAGCCCTCTACAAAAGCAGTATCTGCTCTTAAGCACTGAACCAATAGTACTTGGTCCGTCTTAATTTTGAGCAGTGTGTTGTTAGAAGTTAACAAAAAAAAAAAAAAAATTTCTTTTTTGGACTTTTTGAGACAGGATCTCCCTGTAGCTCCACTTGGCCTGGAACTCACTATGTAGACCAGGCTGGCCTTGAACTCACAGATATTCGCCTGTCTCTGCCTCCTGAGTAAAGTTAACAAAAATTTAAAGATCATGTCCAATCTAAATGAAATGTGGAATAATCTCAGGTTAAATCTAAGCCATTTTATGTATTTTAAAAATTTTATTCATGTAT